TTGCTCAGTTTGGCCAGCTCTAGGAAGAGTCCTGGTTGTTTCAAACTTCTTCCATTAAGGGTAACAGAGACTACATGCTTCTGTGACCCTTCAATGAAGCAGAATTTTTTTCTGAACTCTTCCACAGATGTGTGGCTTGACACAAAACCTGTTTCTGAGCTCTACAGGCAGTTCTTTTGACCTCAAGGCTTGGTTTTTGCTCTGATATGCATTATCAGCTGTAAGACGTGTGCCTTTCCAAATCATACTCATTCAATTGAATTTGCCTCAGGTTAACTTCACTCGAAGTGTAGTAATATCTACAAGCAAAATTAATGCTCCTGAGCTAAATATCAACTGTCCCAGATATTTTTTATTTTTAATAAATTTGCAAAGATGTTAAAAACTTGTTTTTTTGCTTGACAATTATGGTGTATGGAGTGTAGATTGTTGTGGAAAAAAAACTAATTTAAAGAAGTTAACATAAGGCAGCAACAAAACAAAATGTGAAAAAAAATGAAGGGGTATGAATACATTCGCAAGGCACTGTATAAATACATTGAGACCACTGAACTTAGTGATTGCTATCGGAATGTGAAGAAACTTTCAACCAGCATAAACATTTTTTTTTTTTGATCACCTACCCTGCCTTTAATTCATGTTAATTCACAAGCACAGCCAACATGAAATAATACATAGGCTGATCATCATGACAGCGCCTCCTGTGTTTATACAGCACATATTTTATTACTTCCGTCTGCACTGGCGGATGTACATGTTCCAGAACAGCAAACAGAATCAAACTTCATGAGAATCATTTTGGTTCTAATACTTGCTTCACTAGTGGTACAAATTGTAACTAAATCTGAATAATCTTCAAATAAATGAAAATCAAAAGAATCTGTGCGCTACAAAGATGCTTTAGCCCATGTTCTTAAGCTTGATTTTATAAAACTGCACTAAAAATTAAACTATATAAAAAAAAATTCATTAAACATTAAAATTTAAAATATTTGGCATAAGCAATGTTTATTCAAAGTAATATTGTTTATTATCCAAACAGTAAGATAATTGCAGTTACCAAGCCAGTTTTATATTTAGATTTTCAGTTTTCAAGCATGGCAGAGAGGTTTTCCACAAAGGACCAAACATTCAGCCACAATGACAGCACACAGTGTCATCTCAGGTGATGTTTCGCTCTTACGGCTAGTTTACACTGACACAACAAGTACCAGCATATACCAAATTTTGTTGAACATTACAATTGTTTCATTCCAACATTCTGAATCTAATAGCCAATTTTAAAATGACTGAAATGCTGCCAGTTGTTGGCACAGTGAAGTCAAGTTCTTGCATATCCTGCGCTTCCCTGAATTTCTACATTATTGCAGAGAGATCAAGGACAAGGTGCGGCCTGGACACTAAAGCCTAAAAACAAAAACAAAAAAACAAAAAGAAAGGCATAAGAACATACAAAACACAAGCCGAGCGCTTACCGAGGTTGTACCAGACGTCCATTTCTCCACTCAGCGTGCGAACCTCAATGATGCTTTGGCCCAGGAAGTCATCAGATTCCCTCTTCAAACGCTGCTTCACACGCGACTTTATGTCGTCATCTTCATCCCAAACACGAACTTTGATGCGATCAGAGGAGTTGTGGCATTCACTGGAAGACAACACAGATCTTCACAAACTATGTGCATCTCATTTTGAAGGCTGCACCCTCCGGAGGTTACATTTGTCAGCCACATACATCAAGAATGTCTTATTTAAGAAAAGTAAACATAAATTTTAGTATTATTCCTTGCGAGTCGTTTTTTGCTTTTGGAAATTTTTGGTAACTTTTTTTTGAAGAACCAATTCTTACTATTAACTAACTGCTTATTAGCATGCATATTACTAAGATATTGGCTGTTTATTAGTACTTATAAAGCACAAATTAATGCCTTATTCTGCATGACCATATTTTAGATCCTTAATCGACATTCAGCCACAATGACAGCACACAGTGTCATCTCAGGTGATGTTTCGCTCTTACGGCTAGTTTACACTGACACAACAAGTACCAGCATATACCAAATTTTGTTGAACATTACAATTGTTTCATTCCAACATTCTGAATCTAATAGCCAATTTTAAAATGACTGAAATGCTGCCAGTTGTTGGCACAGTGAAGTCAAGTTCTTGCATATCCTGCGCTTCCCTGAATTTCTACATTATTGCAGAGAGATCAAGGACAAGGTGCGGCCTGGACACTAAAGCCTAAAAACAAAAACAAAAAAACAAAAAGAAAGGCATAAGAACATACAAAACACAAGCCGAGCGCTTACCGAGGTTGTACCAGACGTCCATTTCTCCACTCAGCGTGCGAACCTCAATGATGCTTTGGCCCAGGAAGTCATCAGATTCCCTCTTCAAACGCTGCTTCACACGCGACTTTATGTCGTCATCTTCATCCCAAACACGAACTTTGATGCGATCAGAGGAGTTGTGGCATTCACTGGAAGACAAGATCGATCTTCACAAACTATGTGCATCTCATTTTGAAGGCTGCACCCTCCGGAGGTTACATTTGTCAGCCACATACATCAAGAATGTCTTATTTAAGAAAAGTAAACATAAATTTTAGTATTATTCCTTGCGAGTCGTTTTTTGTTTTTGGACATTTTTGGTAACTTTTTTTTGAAGAACCAATTCTCACTATTAACTAACTGCTTATTAGCATGCATATTACTAAGATATTGGCTGTTTATTAGTACTTATAAAGCACAAATTAATGCCTTATTCTGCATGACCATATTTTAGATCCTTAATCGTACCCGGTACCTAAACATAACCACTTTACTAACTATTAATAAGCAGCAAATTAGGAGTTTATGGAGGCAAAAGTCATAGTTCATAGTTAATTACTAGTGAGAACTGATCCCCAAACTAAAGTGTGACCCAATTTTTTTTCTTACTTTGGAATGTAATGGTTAATGAAATGACTTGACTACATGACTTTCCAGTCTGGAGGAGTCAACACTAGTTTCCAGTAGCCGGTCTACAGATTTTGGTCAGTCAAAAGCATTGAAAATCACAGCTTCCGCATCCATTCCTGTCAAAGGATTTCCAACATGTTTTACAGCACATATTGTTTTCATTCGTCATGCGTCTTCTAGCAATGTGACGCATGTTTCTGCATATTTGGAACTTGAAAGTCTGGTAGTGAATGATGTGTATCATTAGTTTATGATGCCCAGTCTGTAACTATTTACTGTAACTATTTACAAAGTTGCCAAATGATGCCTAGTGTTTTAAAAATCTGATAGAATAGTTGTGTAGTATATTCCAGTCTTAAGATACAACTAGACTGAATAATATTGAAAACAGGCCAGTGGTTCAACCACAGCCTGTTCACTCAGACAAGTTTATTCCACTTCTGAAAAGAGACTGGATCAAAAACTGGGTGACAGCCTAGGGCAACAAAGGAACCAAGAGTGGCACTTCAAATCAAAGAGAAGGTCTCTGATTGGTCGAATTATACTTACAAATGAAACTTTTCCTCCCAGACAGGATTGAGGTTGCCGTAGATCGTCTTGGTCCTCTTTTTGGTTTTACCCACCTGGACGGTCACGTAGGGGTCACTGGAGCCAGTCTTATCTTTAGCCTGCAGTCCTTGAGCACAGACAACTATAAGCGAGACAGATTAGAAGACGGGAAGTCATTAAGGTATAGAGGAAAATTTGCATTGTGCATCATTTTAGAATGACTTTTAAATGGCTGAATTTAACTTGAGTAAAAATGGAATTACATATCCAGGAAAATGGCAATGTAAATGATCAGTTTTTGAACCTGTGATGGTGATCTTGGCTGACCACTTGGACGTTCCATCCAGGACGCTCTGCTTGATGGTCTTCATCTGCTGAGCATGGATGGCCTTGCTGACCACAAATACATCTCGGATGACCTCAAAGATCTCAGGCTTGTTCCTCTCACGGATCTTCATGCGATCCTTCATGGCCATGATGATGTTCTGAGTGCGGTCCTCAGCACCATGTTTGGAGCTCTTTTCAGCCGCGCCTGAACAAAAGAGTTAACGATGGTTAACAGCATTTTGTGTGCAGCACCAGTATGTCTTAAATACTCAGGGCACCGTATCGCCATATGCACTGGTAGTACCAAGCTCCTGTACTTGCTTGCAGCAGCAGCAATAATCTACAACTACAGCAATAACCAACAGCAGCAACAATTCAGCAGCAGCGTAGCAGATCTATTCTGCCAAGATCAAATACATTAACATTGCAATATCCATCAACATGCTAAAATCTTCTGAGAGTTGTCATGATTTAAATATATATCAATCAAAAGTAAGATAAAAAAAATTAATTCATTAAATCAATTACTCATGTAATTGTTTTAATTACTTTATAATGGAATTCTACAATTAAAGCACTTGAATGTAATGTCCTCCATGTCCTATTTGCAAAAACTCCTCTGTATCAAAACTATGGCAAGCTCATAAATCCAATAAACACCCTGTCTTACAAAATATACGTGTGTGATGATTATTTTACGGTGAGCATCACCTCTAAATAATTTACTTAATTTTGGCTAATGGACCTGTCAACAAGGGAGATGTCACTGAAGGAAGTCCATTTGGGTAAATGAGTTCAACAGGGCAGATGTCAAATATAGAGAGGAATGTAAAAAAAATAGAGTGAGCTTCTGTCCTACCAAAACAAAGGAGACTTTCATTGAAAGCACCAGTAACCCAGGCTGTGTCCGAAACTCCACAAATGTGGCCTTCTCGGGCAGTAGATGAAGGTAGGAAGCGGTCAAGCAAGTCTGTTGATTCAGACATAGCACAGGTGCTCATACTTACGCTGCAGGCAGTCTGCATTCAGCAGCTCCTGACACTTCTCGTGACATTTGACCCCGCACTCCGTGCAGCGCATGCCCTGCCGAGCGATGCCCCAAAGAAGCCCCTCACACTCGTAACAGTAGGTGGGCGTTGTGGCGGTCCACACCTCAAAGTTGTGAGGTGTTGTACAAGAAATGGGGTAGATTAAAGCTTGTAGCGTTTTTTTATACACATGGTTCTTCTGTAGAAGTGAAAGAGTTGGGGATAAAAGTGAACAAACATTTATTTCGAAAATATTTATTTCATATTGTCAGAAACAAAGTTCAACGAACCAGTTCCTCATCTTTTATGGAGGAGCGTGAGGCCATCGCAGATGCAATGCCAGCCTTCCTGGCTTGGACCAGAGACTATCATACAAAGAACAGATGTTAGTGCAAAACAACATAAAATCGCATAGAAACAGAGGTCAGAAACCAAGTGGAAACCAGATGTCAAAAATAAACATCTAAGCAAGAGAGCAACAACCTAGAACTTCAAAACTAGAGGTGGTGACTATGGGAGTCCCAGAAATCAAAGGGGAAACCAATGTCTGTGCAGTAAAGGAACAAGGGGTTAATGAAGAAACCAAACCATTACTGGTAAGCCTAGGTATGAACGGAAGCATCTAAAACACCCTTCTTTAAAGCAGCCTTTTGAAAGTGATGGCCCAAACATGTTGATGCATGTCGGAGGAAAAGTAAGTAAACTAAAAAAAAGTAAACCAATGAAAAGAACCATTTTTTGCTAGCTTGCTTGTACAGTATATCAATTAAGGTTGAAGTGGTTTGCAAATACATTCATTGAGTATAAAATAAATGTTTTATTGTAATACCAGAATCATATTACATATCATAATATAGTGTTTATGATATTAGCAGAAGTAAAGTTTTAAATACCGTTTTCCATATATATTTTAACAATTACAATATCTTTGTAACATCCTACTTTTACATTGTCATGTTTTCTAGCTGTGTATTTGCAAACTATTACAGCAATACTGATCCTGTGGATGCAGTATTATCTTGATATACACAAAAAAGAAGGTTCAGTCATATGGGTTATTCTGAAAACTTACCATAGCCTGACCATGCAGAATGAATGCATTCAAAAGAGTTGAAGAGGTTTAATTTTACGTTTTTCATGGGGAGGAGAGAGATCAGAGAGTTTTACTTCACTTCATATCTTTCTGAACTTAAATTTATAAAGGTTGTCATTGATCATTTATGAAACCTAAAATTGCTCATATTCTGAAGTTTTTGTCTGAACCAGATTTGGCAAATTAATATTGTCTTTATTTCATGTTATAAGATTGAACAAGTAATATTTCAGCAAGATTTGGATTGATGCTGTTCCTTTTGGAGAAAAATACCATGTTGAGAATTATAACAGAAATATATATAGCTTTTCTTGATTTTAATTTAAGGTGAGGCCACATGGAAAGAGTACTTACCACATCGCTAACCAGAGGAATAGCTTTTTTCTTGCGCAGGTCTGGCATACTGTCAATTCCAAATATTCCACTCCCATTTCTGTGGATATCAACACTTTGTAAAGGAGTATTTTCCACGCTTAATAATTAATACACAGGCATTGAACACGTTAATATAATGTCACTAACTTCTCATAAATAATTCTGTATTTTCATAAATACTTTCATAACAAAAAAAGAGAAAAAGTTAAATACTGCATTAATAATGCAACTCCTCTTAATATCAACTATCAATAATGCTTAAAGAGAAACTTACCCAGCTTTAATCCAAGCATGTCTTGAATTATCTCCATTTTCTTTGCCCTATGGCATCAAGAACACAGTTTAGATCAATCAATGTGTGCAAGGGAAGTAATAAAACTTGAGCAAAACCTAAGCTAAATGCAGAGGACACACGATTGGTTCAGTTTCACCAAAAGGTCTGAGAAAGCAAACCAAAATAAGACAACCAAAATGACTTTACATTGAAGATGAAGTCCTTGTTGATGGAAATGCTTAAAAATCTGATCCAAATGACTGACATGCAACTCATGAGATCAGAGCAAAATCAATGAAAGGGGAAAATAGAAATCAACTTTTGAAAGTACACACACACTCTTGTAGTGCACAGTAAAAATGGTCAGCTAATTGGGGTTAAACCCCTAAGTTTGTTATCAACTATCAGGATAATTATATGAACACACCCAAAAAAAAACAAAAAAACACTTTCCACTTGACAGAAATGAGTGAAACCCTGACAAACATTCAGCAAACTGTCCCTGTGTTTTCCATCTGAGGTGAACCATTTTTGTTTTACAAAATGGCATGAGCATTCTTCCTCAGATAAATGGAACTACAGCTGGATAGCTGTGTTTTCCATCTGAGGTGAACCATTTTTGTTTTACAAAATGGCATGAGCATTCTTCCTCAGATAAATGAAACTACAGCTGGATAGCTGGAGTTCCCCAAGGGCATGCGGTATGTTTCAACTGCTTTTAAAAGCAATAACGTAGCAAGACAAAGACCAGCATTTCAAATTATTAATCATTTAAAAAGATGGCAAATCACATTAAAGCAAAACAAAACAGAACCAAACAACACATGTAACCATTAAAAGACAAAACATTGAGTGTTAACGTCAGAAGTCTTCTGTATTTGACAGAAGATACAGCAAACGTATCGCAAGTAGCGGGCGGCCTCATACATGGATTATATGGTCCAAAAAATAATGCATTCAAATTAACTTTGGATGAAAGACAAAGAAAAACTGGCGTTAATAAAAAAAAAATAAAAATGAAATAACGACTGACAATTGACCAAAACATAACCACAACCTGATAATCTTCCCTGCTTCCCTCTGTAAGACAGAGCAGGACAATAAAGAAAAAAGAAAAGAACAATTGATAAACAGTATTAAATGAGCAAAGATTCACAGAAGTAAGAAATTTTTGTTCAGCTTACATTTATAACTAACCAAAAACAAAGAAAATTTTTTACAAATTTTTTGTACCTCGTTTAAATTCCTCTTCAGAGAAAGTGTCCTTTGAGGCATTGGCAATCCTGGATAATCTATGCCGATGTCTCTTCTCTTTGAGCACACGTTGAATATTGGCAAGGCACTTCTGGTGATGAGGGTCTTCAAGGGCAGGTTCATTGTCAAGACTATGCTCCGCCTGTTTTGCATTAACATCTGTCTCTAGTGTTCCTGAATTGGTGCCCTCTGGACTTATTTCCATATTACCCGAGCCAAATGCCATTTGTTGAGCATAAGAATCAACAATCCCTGAACTCAGATCCACATGTTTTGGGCTAAGCTCTGGAATACACTGCAGATTGGAAAGCTTCTGATCTGTTAGAGGTTCCCCTACAGTATCTGAGTGGTCTGCTGCATAGTATTCAGTTGGAGTATGTAATTCCTGCAATTCCTTCCCATGAAAAGAGGCTTCGATGCCTTTTTGAGGAGACACACTGAGATCTGAAGTTGCGCCGTCAATAGGTACAACAGTCTCTACATTTGAGTCACCAAATGTGGTGCTATCCTCCTCAAGGTCATTGGATTTGTAGGTACTTGGGATTACTTGGGACTTGGGACACTGCGGTTCAGGTGTATCAAGCTCTGTCAAGGCTCCCCTTAGAGTGGAATGGAAGGTCAGCATGGCTTTACTTATCTTTACAACATCATAGCCTAGATTAGGTGGCTGCGACTCTTCAGTGTCCGTATTTTCAGAGTAATCTGGGTCATACTGATCCTCAGACACATCTGGGCAAACCCCTTTAGGCCAGTCTTTCTCAGAATCCATATCACCGAGGCAATGCTCGCAAGAGGAGTGTAGATTTTGGCAACCATCATCATAGTCTGTCATTCCAACAGTTGAACAACTAAGGCTTCGGGATGGCCCACTACACGATTCATCGGCATATGCGTCCATGGTGTGGTATCCAGAACTCCGGGAGTACACACAATTTGATGTGCAGTCACAGCCAATGTCACTGACAATTTGATTCTTAGGATGTCTCCAATCTACAACACTGGATGAACTAGATGGGGAGACATTATGGTTTCCAAACAGTAGAGATAGGTGTTCAGAGCTGCTACGTGATGAATGATTGGTTTCGCCACCATTATACCTGTACCATGTATCTGGGCGTCCAACATTTTCCAATTCGTCTGCGCTGTTCTGGCAGGAGCAGTAATCATCCTCACTCCATCTAGTGTCTCCACTCCATCCTCCTTCTCCACTCACGCTCAACTGCATTTCCAAACGTCTCCAACCACTGTTCTCTTGGTCAGTCTCCCTAGAATAATAACTTCCTTCTTGATCTCGACTCTTAGAACTGTGACCTGAGGATAAGGAACTAGTGCTTGTAAGCTCTTGCCCATGAAGATGACAGTAGCTGGACTTCTTAAATCTGGAACAGGGTGCATCCAAGTTGTCAGAAGTCTTGGGATTGTGTAACTTGGTTCTTCTTGGTACATCTCGGTAATCCGTTTCCACATCCCACCCTGACATGTTCGGTCTGGCCGTTAGAGGTCTACCTTCATTCTTCTCCAATTCTCTATGCTTTATTACTGGGCTATTATTTCTACTTTGTGAGAGAGCATTTATTACTGGGCTATTATTTCTACTTTGTGAGAGAGCAATGGCATTCTCCCTACCTGGGTTTCTTTGATGAGCCACAAGTCTTTGAGGTGACGGATTCCCTACAGCACCAACTGAATACAGCTCCTCAATTTCCAACAGTACAGCATCTACACAGCAAGACACCTCATCTACTGAGCCACTTACAGACGTCAAGTATTGTCTTAAATCTGATATCTCCTCTTGGATTTTATTAATCCCCTGCAGCTCCTTCAAAATGTGCTCCACTATGGTGCTTGACCCTCCTTCTCTTTTCTTGTCCTTGTCACTGTCCCTACTTTGGCTTGGTTTATTATCCATGGCACCTCTTCCCTCTACACATCCACTGTCTTCTGCTTGGTCTTTGGGCTTTAATCCTTTCATTCCCATGATGGATGGAATTGTGATACTGCCATCACTTTTACGCCTCCCCTGCCCAGTAACGGTACTCTTGGAGGTTTTGGTATGACTTTCAAAACTACGTTGAGTTGAAAGACTACACTCATGAGTAGAGGGATCTCTCTTAATGCCACAGATGAACATGTCATCCTCTATCTCCAGGGGAGAGTGCTGGGAGTCATAGGCAGTGTACTCCCCTGATCCCTGGAGGAATTTCTGAATCTTCTTGCGTAGGCTCCGACTGACCTTGGGACTCTTTTTGCCAAGGTCTCTTTTCTTAGACATTCTTTGCTGAAGTTCACCCAACTCATTTGTTTCATCTTGCTCATTGGAAAGACTCCATGATAACATCCCTTAGAATGGGGTGTGCCTCAGGTGATGACCAGAACCTTGAAGTTCCGGTGCATGTGATTACAAAGCTGTTTCATTTCACCTACAGTACACGAGGAAGTGTTTTTCAGTCAAAATCATAACAGGGCTTCAGGCACATCTGACATTTGAGGACTATGACATACATAGATTATTAAAACAGACATATCAATTACACTGCAGTATATTGCAAAGAATTACATCAGTTCAATATAGGCATGCACAATCCATGTAAAATAATCAACATGGCCATTCAGTCTTTTGCACTTCTTGATGCTATTGTTTGGCTCTAAAACCTAGTAAGCTGTCTACAGAGGCACTCCCAATGTGAAGGCCTTTCCAAAATGTAGGCACCTTAACTGTGCAGCCTATAAAAATACTTCAGTTTAGTCTAATTCTAAGGCATCAGGAATGCTATTTGTGTGACACAATCGAGTTGCTGCCCCGGTATGTCATTCCAAATCATTTGGTTAGGATGCCACCATCGAAGTCAACGCACTAGCTTTTGGAACAAAGCTTATGACCACATATTTCATTACATACTATTGTAGCGTCTGGACCAATCAAACACACAATTTTTCATTTGATTTAACAAATCAGTTA